TGGATATTTTGTATGTTGGTTTCGCAGGCCGCTATTAAGTCATCATGCCGAGAGATCGAGTCCGAATGTTGCTGTAGCAAGTTTCTACAATAAGCAACATCAGTTCTGAATTGAGATTGAGAGTTCTTAATATCCTTTATGTCACTGACCATAGTTGATAATTGGTTAAGTATAAGGGTGAGAGTGTCGGTAGGGGTAGACTGATCTGGTTGTAAAGTAGCAGTGGTTTCTGAACGAGCACCGCATGTGGAACAGGTGGATCCGCTTCGGGTAACTCGTCCCTGTTTACAACAGGCTGGGCAAGACCATCGTTCTTTTCCGTCCGACAGTTCTTCGTTGTTATCACTGTATTTTTCTACATTATCCCCATCTTCAGGATCTTTCATGTTTTTATTCTTGTTTCGTACAGTCTGACTCATGTTCCCTTATTCCAGCGGCTATTTCCGGATTACCCTATACACTCTGTAGACTAGTTTCTTAATTTGATTTGACACTATTGACGAAATGTCCAAATGACAAAATGGAATATATGTAAAATGGCTGAAGATTACTCCCACGGCTCTGGAAACTATCGCCAACAGGTCCACGGACGTACCTCTTCCTGCTCTTAACTTGAACACCTCTGGTTTTAAATATTTTTGGCTTTTCTCCTATATTTTGAGGTATTTACAGTGAATACTAATTTAGTAGTCTACTATATACATACTATACTATATATGTGTCACGAAGCCTAAAAACTAAATTTACAGACATCCGTTGGACCGGATGATTTCTGTGCAACTTTTATGTAGGTGATAGCTTCTTATGATGAGTGAAACGATGTCCTTCAGCACACAAAATGTATGATATACAATCTTGCACTCTTTAAGTACGCCTATGGATAATGCTGAATACAGGAGCTATGACGTTGCCGTGCTCCACTAGTCCCAACGGTATCTGATGCCGGAATTAATGAACGTCAAATAGTTGGACACTTACAGGTTGTTACAAAGCACCTTACTGTTTACGAGACGTTCACAGCTAGAACCAATCCCATAACGAAATATTAGTTACCTGTTAACCGAAAGCTGCTTTGAAGCTATCAGCTGGAGCTAACATCTGAATAATTAATACAACATTTGATAGAGAATTCAGAGGAAATAATGTTCTTTAAAGCTCCATAGGTTATTCTAGTTTAGTCTGCGAATATCAAAAGGTCAAGATTTGTTGGTGCCTATCAGCAAGGTTAAATAGTGTTTTAAAACAGACTAAACTTGAAATGGGAATCTTGTAGTGTAAGATTAGATTTCCAATTTAGACACTTGGTAACCTCGAAAATAATAATTTTGAGCCAAGTTTTTAAACATTAAGAATTCCCCTTTCTACTGTTTTCCGGGCACTAAATCGCTTGTAACTCAAAAACAATCAACTTTAGGGAACTTCAAGTAATTATTATATTCAGAATGTCTCAAGAGACCTAGAAAAACGTTGTCCAGAAGGAAAAAATAATCAGTTAGAGTTCAGAAAACATTTTTCAAGTAAATTTGCTCTGGGTTACCGGGCAACCTGGCTAATGGCAACCTCTTAACTTATGTTGATGGGCATCCGACAAACTCGATTATGGAAAAATGGGGTTGAAAAATGAGGTTGAAGGATCGACCCCTCAGTTTTCGTTGTTAGAAAAATGAGATCGCATCAAAAATATGTTGCACATTGCAGTAATTCTTGCATATCGTTGTTAACACAAGAAAACCACGTAACTCCACCTTATATGGCGTTTAAAATAGGAAAAACACGTAATTCCTAATTTTACCTATTTTCCATTTTTGTTTTGAGAATTTCAGTTTTTTTAAGTGTCATTCAGAAACTGCTCAACTAAACTATAATATTGCATTTATCACAATAATGCTATTATTCCTAAAACAATATAATGCAAATTTGCTTTTACGCTTTCCTCTAGAATTCTTAGAAACCGAGTTATATATATATATATATTAATATACAAACTTAGCGAAAATGACAATTTTTTTAATAAATTTTGTAGACTTACTATAGTTTTCGTTGGATCAGTTAAACAAAAAAGTACACTTGCTCTAGGATATTTATTGGAATATTACAGTATTTTTCAAACAAAGAGTCCAAAAAGCCTCTTTAATGCCAATCTGAGTCACTCAAATTGTATTCATCTTCGCGTTCCTCACTATCATCGTTCTCAAATTCTGCATTTTCAGCACTGTTCTCTTTGTAATTTTTATCTTCCTTGGCTTTTAGAGAAACATGAAAAGCAGGTAAGCCTCAGGAATTCTAGGAAGGCTGTTTGCTTTTGATTTACACAGGTCTGATAGGCCATTTAAGTTTCTAGCATCTACTGGAAGCAAGCTTGTGTACAGCAAAGCTAGTTTCTGAAGCGTATTGTTTTGCGGTCTCATCCTCCGATAATCACTGTTACTATCGTGAGATCATCAGCATAGTCACACTTATATTTCATTTCGCGAGGCACTTATTTATTTTAAACTCTTCTCCACAATCGCAGGTGTTCCAATTTTCTGATTTTACCTTTTATTTAAAACTAATGGATCCACGACCAACCGCAGACAGGGTTCTTTAACCCTCAGCAGTACGATATAGCTCTGTAATGTGTCGTCTTAGCAAAATCGACGACTGTAGTAGTTGAATTCTTTTTCATTTCACAGGCATCAGAGAGACAGACTGTGATGCGAGAGATCTCAATCCATAACGTGCTGAAGAGGCTGCTATGTTTGAACCTTTTTGTTCTGTTAAAAGAATTCATCACTATTTATGAACCAAACTTGCCTAAATTGAACGGTTCAGCAACTACACTTAGCTTCTTTGCATCAGCTAGAATTATTTTGGTTCTTGAATTCGTTTTAGTTTGCTTTGAAAACTGCTGTTTTCACACAGCAAATACTTGTGTTTTCGCTATTAATTACCGTAACCTGAAACTATGCCGCAGAAGTCATAGTAAGTCACACAGTAGGTCTAACAGTTAGTTAAACTTTCCGTGATTTCTTGCATCGAAGACTGAATTAACTCAACTTGATATACATAGTTTTCTCGGAAGCAACCGCCACTATTATACTTACTGTATGACGTAGAAGATTTGCTGGTTGCCTATAGTTGCATGACTGAGATGCCATATTCTTCCACTAACGAGAACCCAATAAAGTCTACCATATGATAAGTGAAAAGCAAAAATTTTTTAGTTGCAGTGGTCGAAATGTTTCACTCGAGTGCAGGTTTCCATTTAATATCCTAGCATCTGTTCAAAAATGGTCACTTAATATCGCGGAAGTCAGTAATTCGTCAGTTTATAATAAGTTATTGTAGCTGACAAACGATTTGCCTACATCTTCCTCAAAGCCTATACGAAATTTGTTTTCTTTTCTCGCTGTTGACAAAGTTCCTTTTTGTCTTTCGTGGATCACTCTGAACAAAAAAGATCCTGTTACCTTCCCCTTAACTTGACCATCTTCAGTTTATAGGAGATTTAATGTCAGAGAAACCTATAAACGGGCAGTTTTTATGCTATGAAACTAGGTTAAAGAATACTATTTCCAGAAAGGCTCAGATATTTCCTATTGTCAAGCTATGTTTTCCTCTTGAATTGTAGGAAATTTCAGACTATATGACAGACGATATAAAGCAAAAGCATGAACAATTTATGCAAGTAGATTTGTAACATAACCTCAAAATAGAGCGCTGACACGCAAGGGTAGAAAATCAAGGAGGCCATGAAGGCGTCCTACAATTGCAGCAAAATTTCGCACAAGGTTACTACTATGCCAGGAACGAAAAAGCTTTACAGTTTTCAAAAATCGGTCCAGTGGCAACGAATCTAAGATGCAAAAAGGAAAACAATATAAATCGCTTTCAGAAGTCCCTCATCATTTTCTGATCAGATTCTAAAAAACCACAAAGTTGTACTCTAAAGCCCTATTTGTACAGCCGTCACTCAATGATCGTGTCCAAGATCCCGCCACACAAATTCCGTTCATTCTGCTACGCTGTTTAGACAGAATTCACATGGCCGGGTCCCAGACACAGTCGCTAACAAGTCACGGACCACTGTACTTTGGGCCTGTTTGGCTGACTCCGTCCATTCAAACCTTTGTTATACATATTTGTAGATACCTAACTGTTTTCTCTGAAGGGCTCACTAGTGCTGAGCAAAATTTTTGACAGCGTTACGTGGGAAGTAAAGCGTCAACCTACTTGACGCCATCTTTTAACACCCGGAATGCAGAGGTTGGTTGGCTATATTCAGGCAGAATATGCTAATCAATGATTAAAACGAAACACGTTACGAGTTATCCAGTGTCTCATTGTTAAAATTGTATTATAGAACTAAGGGCATCTGCAGCCTACTGGTAATGCATTTTATCAGGTAACCAAATACGTTCGTACAGTTTTTAGTAGGAAAAAATAAATTTTTATTAAGAAACAATAAGACACTATTTATTGGTCGAAGTAATTACCATCACATTCAATGACCTTTTGCCAACGTGAAACCAATTTTTGTATGCTGGTATTGTAGAACTCCCTGGATTTAGAGTCAAAACGTTGACGGACTGTCGGTGACTCATACAGTTGCCAAGAGACAAAAAAATGTGATAATTACTAGGGAAAATGTCGGGAGAATATGGCGGGTGCAGTAACGTTTCCCAGTCGAGTTCAGTAACTTTTTCTCGGGTCACTTTTGCGGTATGAGGCTTGGCGTTATCCTGCAAGAATATCACTTTCTTCCGATTGATCAAAGAAGGCTGTTTCTGGATGAGTGCTGCTTGAAGCTGCTAACAATACAAGTTAGCAGTGATTGTTTGACCCCTTTTCAAAAACTCATAATGGACAATTCCAGTTGCTGTCCACCAAGCACACAACAAAACCTTGTTTAGGTGCAAGGAAGCCTTGTGTGTGGTACCGAATCAGGAGGTAACAACCAATGATATGAACGCTTAGAATTCGAATACAAGATTCATTTTTCCTCGCAGGTTAATAACCGGTTAAGAAATGGTTAACTAGCGTTGCGTGAAATGTTTGCTGAGCAAATGGTAAGACGACTTAATTTGTTATCATTTGTCAGTTCATGTGGTACCCATTTGCTTAACTTCCACGTCTTTCCTAGCTGATGAAGATGCAAACGAATAGCTTCAGAAATCACTCTGAACATTTCTGCAAGTTCTTGTCACGTTGTTCTGGAATTTGCGTCCACAACCTGTCTCCCTGAGCGCGGTTCATCGCTCAAACTGAGATCTCCCGAAGAAAATTTTTTGAACCACTTCTGTGCTGTTCGATCACTAACGGCATCATCTCCTAATGCGGCCATATTCTTCGCGGCGTCGTTATTCGTCGCCATTTTCAATTATTAAAAGTAGGTATGTAACAATTTTCAGCAACTTTTGATGTGTGTGACAAAAGAAGGATTCATACTAAAGTGACAGCAAGTAACAAACAATGTGCGATATACAGCAGCCGCAGGAACTTATTTGGTGATACAATGTTTCTTTGAAAATGAGTTTCCGTTCGATCTCATGCAAGTGTCGTGTTTCTCAAACTTCATTCCATCATTCCTCTGTCGTTAACATTTGATTCAAAACATTCTCAACGTAGACTATTGCATCTGTGTCTTATCACTTTCTAATACTCTGCATATTCAGACAGTCGTGGCGCGGAGCTATGTTCGCAAATCCATACTTCTAACAACAACTTGTCGCATCCTCCAAAACTTTGGACCTTCGCTCTGGAACTATAATGAACTCAAACTCCTTGAACAGATTATGTCATTTAGAGGATAACAATTAGTTGAGAGAGCAAGTTTGAATAATGCCATCAACGTGTTAGGAGAGTTCTTAAAACTTGTCGCGAACAAGACCCAAAATATGTCTTTTACACCGCTTTGAAAAGAAAAATTTGAGTTCCACTTTGATGAAAGATCTGGTCGCCTGGGAAAGCAGTGACGTGATTAATGTCCGACGTTTTTTTTTTAGTGTGCGGCGGTGTTGGTACTGATCTATGTAAATTGAGAAATTCTGGTGGTAACAGTGATCGGAAAATTATCACGACTTGAATTAATGAAGTTACAGTTATGACCACTACTAATAAGTAAGTCTCTAGAAACAAATACCGTAACACCATAAACGCCTGTAATTTGAAATCATCAATCCTTCGACACAATTCAGAAAACGAGAATTTTTGTGTTTATTTTGGAATATTTAGTATAAAGTAAAAGTACGTAAATTACAGGGTGAATTGAATAACAATGATCAATTCAGTTGTTGTAATGTCATGTGTTAATGTGCTGAATACTCCTCAGCTTTCGACAACCATGAAAACACTTGTACCTCGTCACAGGACAGATGCTTTTGCAACTGTATTTATAAATTCTGATTCTTCTAATTCTGAGTTCCTTACTTCAAATCTAATTAGTATGAATATATCTCTGAACACTGTAAGTGAAGCGGATATAATTCATGCTTTCAGAAAGTTAAAGAATAAAATGACTTCAGGCTATGATGGTGTGCCTAGTTTATTAATAAAGGATTGTATTCATGTATTGGCAAAACCGCTTTGCATGATCTACAATATGATATTATTAACATGCTCTTACTCTCGTATCTGGAAAATGACCAAGGTATGTCCTGTCTTTAAAAGTGGCAATAGAAGTAATATTTGTAACTATAGGCAGATTGCGATACTTTGCAATTTTGGTAAGATTTTTGAGGTTATTATTTATAATACCATTTTCAACTCTGTCGAATGTACTTTATCTCCTAACCAGCATGGTTTTGTTGGTGGCAGATCAACAGTCACAAATCTGACATGCCTGACTCAAAATATCTCTGAGGTATTAGATGACCAGGGTCAGTTGGATGTCATCTATACCGACATTCAAAAGGCCTTTGATCAGATAGATTACTTGCTTCTTTCTAAGCTTGAAATGATTGGGTTGTCTAAATCTTTATTGAAGTTGATCAGATCATATTTATTTGACAGAAATCTGTACATTGAGTTTGGTGGTTTTAAGTCTAATTCTTATACAGCAACATCTGGAGTGCCCCAAGGATCCCATTTGGGTCCTTTGTTTTTTGTGTTGTTTATCAATGATCTGTCGCTGGAATTGCCTGGTATACATTTACTTTATGCTGATGACTTAAAAATTTATACTGCTATTCAGAGCTATCACGACTGTATCTCTCTTCAAAACAGCTTGAACTTGGTGCATTCTTGGTGTTCCAGAAACTCTCTTACGAATAATGTGTCAAAGTGTAAAGTTCTTGTCTTTTAGTAGGAAGCAAAATGTAATACATTATGAATAGTATCAATGATCACTTACTCGAAAGAACAGAAACGTTCATAGATTTGGGTGTTGTATTCGATGCCAAGCTGACATTCAAGGATCACATCACTCAAATGGTGAATTCAGCGTTTAAGATGCTAGGCTTTTTTGTAAGGAATTGGTCAGGGTTTTCAAACATATCAACTCTAAAGCTTCTATATTTTACATTTATTAGAAGTAAGCTGGAATTCGCTTCATCAATTTGGTCTCCAATCTACAACAATTCAAGGGTTAGTATTGAGTATGTGCAACATAAGGCTTTAAAGTATTTGTATTGCAAATGTTATGGCAATTATCCTGAAAGAGGTTTCGACCATTTTATTTTATTAAATATTTTTGATATAGAGTCATTGCATCTTAGACGCGACATATCAGCGCTACATATTTTGTACAAAATCATACACAATCAAGTTGATTGTTCATTCATATTAAGTAAGCTTAATTTTCGTGTGCCTAGGTTGGGAAATCGTGCTCAAATTACTTTGTATCCGGTTATTGGTAATACTATATAATTTATTGTCTAGATCTCCGGTAAATATGATTTGTACATGTTTCAATTCTGTTTGCAGTTCCTGTGACTTATTTTTTGATAGTGAGAACTTTGTTGTGAAGTGCTACAGAGACGGGTGCCTTTGTCAGTGAGAGTTTGTTTTTTCTTTTTTTAAGTTTTTTTTTGTGTTTGGCGTTACCGCTGCTGCTAATTATGTAACTTTTTCGTGTATTTTTTCTGTAATTGGATGTTACCTGTTGGGAATAAATAAATAAATAAATAAACAGCTGCCTAGAGAGGGAAAAGATTCAGATTTACATGAGCAGACATGAAATTTTCGCTCTGAGAAATTCCAGCTATAGAAGAAGGCATAAGATGAATAGATTGGAGGAATTTATAAAGAAAACAACCATTACTATGATTGGGTAGAAACTTTAAGGTTTAAGAGTGCAGAAAGGCTACTACTTCATCAGGAAGAAATCGAAGATCTGATTAAATTAGGCAAAGAGAATGATGATTATATTAAAAAACTCTAGAGGAGGACCATTGGTATAGAGGACGAGGTGAGAAGGAATATTAAAATAAAATTGCAGAGCAACGTGATTTTATAGAGGTTTTGATCAAGGAAGCTATTAATATTAGAAGGAACAATGAAAACCAAAATGTTCAAATTGTAGAAAAATAGTAAACTATCTAAGCTGAAAGTACAAGCTAATGCGAATGAACTATTACGAAAAAAAATTCTGGTCTCAATACAAGCAGTAACGACTAAACCAGATTGCACTGATGACTGAGAATAATATTGCACTTCCGAGAAATGAGTGTAACAAAAACAGCAGCCAAACAAATAATATGCATATAACATCTTGCACCGTGAGCTCGGTAGAGGAACATGTCAATCATGACTTTTAAATGTACTTTGATTGTTACAGCCTATACCTACATGTAATGTTATCTTGTTTGTTTTATACACTGTATGATTTTTTACTATATTCCAATACTACCTTGTAGCCCAATGAAGATAAACACTATTTATTTAATGCTCATGTGAAAAAGTACTAAGTATTGCATCTTAACTAACGAAAAGAACCTGTTGGGGCTAAAAGCACTGAGCATCTGCTAGGCCCAGGTAAAACCTGGCCTCAGCACTGATCACATGCTTGCTGTTCCCACTATACTGACGATACTCACTTAGTCTCCACATCTACAAATACCACGATTCGTTTTTTTGCATAATCTAAATCAAAAAGCATCCCTGCTAACAAATCTGCATGTTACCAATCCCAGAATAACGTCGAATATCGTTTCAATATTTTTTTTAAACAAATTCCAAAAATTGAAAGGATCTGAGAAACCACCATTATTGACTGAAATGCCTTATTGAGAAGAAGCATTTCCTTCCCTAGGTAAACAGTGGAAGCAGACAATATCTATGTAAATAACGACGTCCTTTGAAATTATTTCCTGTCAATATCCTTTTGTCGGTTTGACAACTGAACTTTATATTTCGAAATATCTCTAACCGACTAAGAATTAAGTAATTTCAAAGCTAGCTCTCCATGTAATTCTCTTCCTTGAATACCCCAGTAATCGACATAATGTTTGAAAATGGCTTTGAATTTTAACAAACAAAAGACATGAGTACCTCTCCTTTCCTCGAATGGCTCCGTTGTATCTCTATATTATTTTATTTGAATATCAATATGCTATTGGCACCAAGATATGAAATTTTAATTCGATAACTACAATGATAAGTCACCTTAACCGTTTTACCCGAAATCACTTGCTTAAGAGTCTTCTTGTGCCCTACCAAAACCGTTGACTCAAATCTTTTCATTTGTATGACCCAGAGGGTTCTTACACGCACGGGGTTGAAGGTATTTACCCAGTAATGTCAATTTTTTGTTGAAAAAGTACATTTTGTTGCCTGGTAGTCACATTAAGCACCTGAATTCTTCTACAAATTGACTGCCGATTGTCGGAAAAAGTTGAACGAATGAGTCATATGTACTTTTTCACTGTGACCGATTCATGGTTTGGATGTAAAACGGGTAATTAGGCTGTCCCAAGTATTCGCTTTGCTCGGGTTTCCCCTATGCACCTTAAAAGTATTAAAACATGCATAATTGGATATTTCTCAGAAAATTTCGAAATTCATGTCCTGAACCATTGATGCTAAGTTGCATGGATATATCATCAATTTAAAATTTTTATTATATCAATAAGTGTTTTCACTAATATTTTAAAAACAAAAATTTAGACAATATATTGACACAAAAAAATACGGTTAATTTATTAGTCTAAAAGTCATTCCCTCATCTCGATTACATTTCTCTGTGTCGTTACCTCACTGTTTATATTAAAACGTAAGTCATTATACTGTTCGATTGTTTTATTGATTTTTTTCTTGCCTTGGGGAGTAGAATGCATTCACAAAATGCTGAATCAATTTGAGGTGTTGGCTACGGTGTCGTTTATGCAAATCCATCATCACCTCACGGTCATTCCCTCACTATTAGAAAGTGAGGCAATGACAATTATATGAGGAAGTGAATGTTGCATATATAAAATTGTGGTTTGGGTGTTATTGTTTAACTCCAGATTGTATAGCATGTGTTTTCAATTTTAACAGGTATCCGTATATCAAGAATGGGGAAAATGAAGAAGTTAAGT